TATATAGGGTATTTCATTTAGAAAAACACAACTTTGATACTTTTGGGGCTTTTGGGACACTCTGTACATTACAAAAATATTTTTAAAATGTGCACTAGATAGGCTTCTGTGGATTCATCAAATAATACTTTGCAAAAAACAAACGGGCTAGCCGCAAACGTCCGTGCCGTATAGCGTGAATAACCCTGTATACTCGTTTTTACAACCGTTTTTAGCCACCATCTTGAGACAAATTCTACAGCTCGTTCGTACCACTGTGCAATCATAGTTTCCTACATTAAACTAATAATGTTGGCGACAATGTGATGATTAATGTCCATTGTCCATACTGTTTGGTTGGTAACATGGTAATCACCTGACAGTGTTTTGATGATAAGTATAATATTTAAACTGAGTTCTCTGACTGAGTAATGAAATAGTTGTTATTGTTGTATTTGTGTTGCTTGTTCAACAGTAACAGATTACAGAGTTTCTAGATTTTCAACCAATTGAATACTATTATTAAGTAGGTCGATTTTATTGCCGGCATGGCTCGACTAAAGGTTTTCTTGATTATTTGTTTCATTGCAACCATTACTTGTGAAAATTTAGTAAGGTAGGTAATTTTAATATCCGAAATTGGGTTTAAGAAAAATTACACTGTTTTAAATTGCTAAGGAAAGTAATTTGCGTTAGGTTCGACGGGTATCAAGTAAAAATAGGTGTGCTTTTGCTTCGCAGTAAATGCTTCGTTATTTAGACCCGTTTGCTACACTTTTTAACAAGTCTAGACTGAAATATTTTGTTATGATCGATATGTGCGGACCAAGAAGAAACGCTAAGTTCCCCGAAGAAGAAAGCACGACTTGTGAAGACAACGATCAAATGAAATTTGCAGTTATATTTTCCTCCTGTCTTCGCATTCCACTTCTAATGTTAATGTCGTCCGCATTTTCTTCAATACCGTTATTTGCGCCCAAAGCAACGTTCCAAACCCTCTTTCATTTTTCGAATTCATTCTGCAATTCGATAAGCAGGGCTCTATTCCATACCCTTTATCTGTCAGGAGCAAAGGTCGTGTATGACAAAGGATAACAGCGCAAATATCAGACCTTTTCCATATTTTACTAGCATAGATAGACGAGTAGAACGGTAGAACCGGGCCGTTGTACTTTTACTTTTGCAAATTCTTCTTGACCCTCGCATGTTATTGGTACGTATATTGATACGTACCAGTACGCATCAATATACGCTGTTTTGCTAACTCGGATCAGCAATATACAGCAAAAACACTTATTTTCTGGAACGGCGATAATGCACCATCTCGCCTCGTTTTCCACACCAGAGAAATGGTTGGATAACCAATGCATGTTTGCTTCATTGAAACGAATTTAAAGAACCTATAAATGTATTTTTCATAGTTTTTGCCAAAAAATAACACACAAGAAGATGAGATGTAAGTGTAAGTCTTTTGCGAATCTCATTGCTGGTAGTTTGATTAATAACTCAGGGGCAAATAAGTAGAGTAATTAATAAATGTAAGTATAGTTATATTTTGTAAATGTCTGTTACCCATTTATTTGCAGAGTACCTCTTACAAAAGGAAAGTCTCCTAAAAATATACTGAGGGAAGTTGGTACTCATGTACAACAAGTTAAGCTGAGATATGCAAGTGGTGCAGAACCTGTTCCAGAACCACTTTCGAATTATTTGGATGTAAGTTCCATAATTGAATTTTTTATCGACTTCTTAAAATATTTACTTGTTTTATGATTGTTTTATCATCTTACTACCATAATTCATATCTACCTAACTTACCTAGCTGTCATGTATAACCAAATAACTGGATCCCATGCAATGTAATCGCTGATTTTTATGTGGTTTGGATGGAAGGTTACATTCTAAACAAGTTTTATTTTATTTTTATTGGTCTTGCTTGATCTTTTATATTCATTGTCTCTGAGGGGTCAATCTCGCAGAAAATGTTTTTCTAGTTTGTATTATTATTATCAAAATTGAAAAAGTCGACTTTCTGGGAACCTAATTAAGAAGTAGGCTCCAGTTTAGACGCAATGCAATATATAAATACCTTTTTGAGACTTCTCCAACTACTTATGAATTAAATTTTCTGTCAAACACTTTTGCTTGCGTCTTAAGAATTCCTTCTTCGCTCGTGATTCATTGCTGATCTAAGTCGGTCCTGGATATTACTCCAGAGATAGTCATCTGTAATAAAAATTATATTTTTAATGCTAATAACATTAAATAAATTTTCCCCCGCACTCTGTATAATTGCATCTACAACTTAAAGAGTGTAACTTGATTGAATACTGGTGGTGTAAGCAATGATAAAATATTAGATATAAAAAAAATTTCTGTTAGAACTTTAGTTTTCGGGTAATTGAAAGAACGTTTATTTTTAGACATGTTATTCTTCAACACCTTATCTTCACTAACTACTTCACGGTGTAAAAAAAAACTTTACAAAACTATAGAAATTAAATAAAGTTTAACATATTTATTTATTGTTTAAACACTATCAGCGATCATACAAAGCAATGTGGTTTATTTTTAGGCTCAATATTTCGGGGCTATTTCGATTGGCACACCGCCACAAAAGTTTGTTGTTGTCTTCGACACGGGATCTTCAAATCTTTGGGTGCCTTCCAAAAAATGCTCCTTTACCAACATTGCCTGTTGTAAGTATTGTAAACCATTATGAATCGAAAAAATTTAATTGAGTGGAGAGCATATTCATTTATACCTTTTAAGTTACGACGCAAAAATAAATACTAGTCTAATTAATAATATCACATAATTAATAATTAATTTCGGCACGGCATTTATGCAGGTAGTTTTTAGACAATTTTTCAGTTCGCAGTGAACTTGTAAGTGTAATACATATTTCGAATGTATTTAAATGCTTTTAGAAACTTAACTGCTGCAGCGATATCTAAATTCTTTAAATAAACACGTTGTTTTCTGCAAAATTCTTGATCGTTGACCTGCCAGCAGTGATAAGAAGCTTAGCTCAGTGTGAATGAGATTGATGGTCGGAAGACAATATTTAAAGTTGATAAGTATCAACTAATAACTAGTACATGTTGGAAACATTGTATAAAACCTAAATAAAAAAAATACATTTGTAGCAATTAGGGAAACTCAATGAGAACTTAAATAGTTGTTGGATTACTAAATCTTATTTCATATTCTTTTTGAGGCATACTGTATATCGAATAATTTTACAGTGCTTCATAACAAATACGATTCTTCTAAATCGTCCACTTACAAAGAAAATGGCACGGAGTTTGCAATTCGTTACGGATCTGGAAGTCTTTCAGGATTTCTGTCTACTGACGTCGTGGGGGTAAGCATTTAAAAAAATTATTAAATCATAAACCCACTATGTCTATGTATATTCTGCTTCACTTGATGTTGATGATTCATTTCTAAAGTGTTGTCGATTTTTATCAAAAGTAGTTGTCTTGTTGTCCAGCATGAGTGATTTTCCGACGAAATGTGAGAAAATAATCATTTTGCATGTGACCTCGAGATTAAATGATGATTCACTTTCATGAATTACTGTTTTCGTAACGAAGAAATATGCACGAACCTTGTTTATCGCAAAAAAAAATATGTTCGACGACTTAGAGAAAAGCACGACTTTTCTGCGTTATCGTGTGAGTTTGGACGATTTGTAAAACGCAAAATTAATATAATAATATATTTAAAAAGAAATTTAACAAGTCAATAAAACACTTAGTTACAAAGTTAAAACACTGCTGGTTAAGCCAGCGCACATCCAAAAAATAAACTCACCAAATTAATGGATGTATTCAAATATAGCGTTTAAGGTAGTTCAATATAAATTACGAAATTTCTAAATATTTGTTCACTGTGCATAAAGGCACAATCCACATTCTTCTAAAAGGGCCATAAATCTAAGGTAACACTTTTTTGCAATACTTTAGGTTTCGGATATAAATGTAAAAGGCCAGACCTTTGCTGAAGCCTTAAGTGAACCTGGATTAGCCTTTGTAGCAGCGAAGTTCGATGGAATTCTTGGGTTGGCTTATTCACGAATTTCCGTCGATGGAGTCGTTCCATTGTTCTACAATATGGTAAATCAAGGCATAGTTTCCCAAGCAGTGTTCAGTTTCTACCTTAACAGGTAAATTCACAGCGCCCTGAAAACTTGCATTTTAAATGCTAATTTGATTTTATGAACAAAATTTAGAAACCCTGATGGCAAGGTTGGAGGTGAACTCATTTTTGGCGGATCTGATCCTAATTACTACAGTGGAAACTTCACGTACTTGCCGGTTGATCGTCAGGCTTACTGGCAGTTTAAAATGGATGAAGTGATAGTGGGCCAAAAAACATTCTGCAAAGGTGGATGTGAAGCCATTGCCGACACAGGTAACAATTTCAAATTCAAGCCAAAAACACAAACTATGAACAGTTAATGTAATGTTTAAAATATTATCTTAAGGCTCAGTTGCAGCTAAGTATCAATTTTGTCACACTTAGATATTCTACTGAAATCTACTATTACTTTTCGACACATTTCTTCGAAAGTTGTAAAACTATAGGGATGACTTGATGCATATGTTTTATCTTGAAAAAAATGTTTAATAAATAGCACAATGGCATGCAGACATTACAAGTTGTTCGTTTCATAATTGTCTATGGGAATTTTGAATGGTTGAACTCTTATTTCAATTGTTTAGGCACCAGTTTGATTGCGGGTCCCGTAGACGAAGTAAAAGCTCTTAATGAAGCAATTGGCGCAACTCCTCTTGTTGGTGGAGAATACGCGGTTGATTGCAGCCTCATTCCTAACTTGCCCGCAATCAAGTTTATCCTTGGCGGTAATACTTTCGTATTGGAAGGCAAAGATTACGTTTTAGCGGTAAGTATTCACAGTTCTTATTTTATTAGATTTAAGAGATTTGAATTGGAAAATAATTACATATATAATATTGCAGGAAAGTGCAATGGGTAAGACAGTGTGTTTATCTGGATTTTTCGGTATAGACATTCCCCCACCGAACGGCCCATTGTGGATTCTAGGAGACGTATTCATTGGAAAGTACTATACTGAATTTGATGCTCAAAATAATAGAGTGGGTTTTGCCATTAGTAAGTAAGTTGATTGATTAGTCTTATCCTTATCCCAAATGTTATCAGTAGGCGACATCTTGCTGCAAATGACAAACGCAAGCAACTATATTTTATGTAAAAACACTTAGTGATATTAGGGATGTAGAAAAAATGTCAAGAGCTTCTGGAAAAATAAAGAAACTGCTTTTTCCTTTTTATTTGTAACCTTTATGAAGTTAGACATTAAAAAAGGATCTATCAAGATTTTGGATTTGGGACTTGAAGTGAATGAATTAAATACTTTGTTCAAATCTTGGATTCAAGACTTTTCCACATACCTCAGCCTCAAACGGATGAAGATCGTTTGTGAAATTAACTTGTCTGTTAATGTAATAATCTGTAAACGTAACCGAAAAAGACAAGTTCAGAATAAGTTTACAACGAAATACGATTATTATTATAGGAAACGAAATGGAGAAGAGATTGTTAACGACAATGGAAACCGATTAATTACGGTATGCGAGCAACTAATCTTAAAAGTTCAAAATGGCTTTTTCCAACAGGGAAATACACATGTACCAAACCCTCAGAAAATCTCAAATCAGTAATTGACTATCTTATTACCAAACAAAATCCAACATGCGGAACCGACGAATGCACTTTCAGGCGAAAACCCAAATGAAGACTATGATTGCATTACATCAAACCGCAAAAGCAGCACTAGGTTTAGTAGAAGAAAAATCGAGGAGGAGAAAACCATATTGGTGGAATGCTGAGATTGAGAGAGAAATTGAGGAAAAGAGAAAACGGTATCACATTTACTTATCTCAAAAAACAGAGAATGCCATTCAAAATTACAAGAGCGCACAAACAAAGGTAAGAAGAATGCTTAGTGACAAGAAAAATAAAGCATGGGCCCAAAATTGGACGATAAAATCAATTAGAAAGTAGAAGAACCAGAGGTATAATTTCGCCAATATCAGACAAAGAATGGGATGCACACTTTAAAAAACTTTTAATGAGAAAACGAGTGGAATCTCAAGATTTGAAATGTATTCAAAAGTTCTCATGACCTTATAGCTTACATATAACATGAATTTCATATACGATTATTTATTGATATACTTATTAGATAAAAGTTCAAAAGCAGTTGAACAATATCTTAAGTGAGATATATTTATTTAAAGCACTCGCGTGGTTTGCTTTGTGAATGATTGTTTCACAATTCTAGGTGCATTATTTGACTGTCTGGATTTCCAATTCGACAAATATTCCCACATAACTTTGTTACTTCGGACACAATAGTTAAGATATGATGATACTTAAGATAATCAATTTAAGTGGTCTAGATGACATCAAACTCCATGTATGGACAATCTTTGTACAAACTTCACTAGCTTATTTGAATCATGAAAGCGATCTACGTTTCGGTTGTTTTGTGTGCTCTAATTTGGGCAGCCAGTTCTGCGAAACTCCTAAGGTAAACCAGCAAAATTCATCAAATAAGCTCCAATTTTGAAGTACCCAATATAATATTTTTAGAGTTCCTCTCACTAAGGGAATAACGCCGAGGAGGTCGCTTCGAAATGTGGCCCTTCATCTAGAGGATATGAAGAAAAGATATCGTGTTGGTGGTGTTCCAGAGCCGTTGACTAACTATCTAGATGTAAGATTGAACATTTTCTCAATTTTTCAATTTAAATGCTGTAATAGTTAGGCTTGAAATCATACATGTTTTATTTTTAAACGTCCAATTAGAGGAGCTCCTGAGGATAACTAAACTAGTATGAACTACCTAAATAGTTCAATAAAAGTCAAGTAATGATCTGTTAAAATAGTAGCGATAGAGAAAAATTCTGCACGATTGATAAGAGGGTTTTATTGAATGTATTTATACTTTCATTAGTTGCATCGCATCATGCATTGTAAATTACATTTTCCTTTAGGCTCAATATTACGGAGAAATTAGCATTGGAACTCCTCCACAAACATTTGATGTTATCTTTGATACAGGATCATCTAATCTCTGGGTGCCATCTGCAAAATGCAGTATTCTCAATGTAGCTTGCTGTAAGTAGATACTGGCTTATGTTCAGAAAACGTTTTCTTTAACAATCACTGTTAATGCACCAATATTATCTAGTGTTACATAAGAAATATTACTCAGAAAAATCATCAACTTACGTAAAAAATGATACTGAATTTTCGATCTCCTATGGGTCTGGCAGTCTTTCAGGAATATTGTCTGTTGATTCTATAGCGGTAAGTTAAAGAAAAACAATCAAATCTTAAAATATTTACAACGTTCCTTGATCATTTCCAGATTGGATCAGCTATTGTTACTTCTCAAACTTTTGCCGAAGCGACAAACGAACCGGGAATAGCTTTTATTGCAGGAAAATTTGATGGCATCCTTGGACTTGCCTATCCAAGCATATCAGTAGACGGCGTTTTGCCGGTCTTTTATAATATGATCAACCAAAAACTTGTTGAGCAACCGGTCTTCAGCTTCTACCTTAATAGGTAACAAAACCAAAGGCTATAATTGATTTTTTACCTTGTGCAACACATTTTTTAAAAGTGAGAATGAATAGAGTGACGGTATAAGATGTAGAGTATCACATTTTAAAATATAGAAAAACACCGGTTTTTTGAGCCACGTAGAATCCCAAAACTGAAACTACAAAAACTATGTTAAAAGGAAGTACCCACAACAGTTCATTTCACATAAGATAAATTTAGTTCCCTAAGAGGAGTATTTTTTTAGGGATGCAGATGGTAACGTAGGTGGTGAAATATTGTTTGGCGGTTCCGATTCAGACTATTATGAAGGAGAATTTACATACTTGAATGTTGATAGACAAGCATATTGGCAGGTCAAAATGGATAGTGTTAAAGTAAATTCAAGTACTTTTTGCGATGGTGGATGCGAAGCCATTGTTGATACTGGTAAGCCATTGATGAAAAATCGCTTGTATATTTTTTATACGCTTGCGATTTATCGCTTTAAAATTATTTCCTGTAGACTATTTATGGAATAAAGCTAGTTATCCTGAAAAAGTTCAATGAAACAAATATGTCGGTCTTTCTGTAGCCAAAAATATTATGGATCTTACCCTCTATAATCTTAAATTTTAACCCTCAAATCAAATCTTGTGAACTTTAAGAATACTTAAAAAGTGTTCTTAGAGTGTGATTCATCTGCGATTTTTTATTTTGAACACAAAAACCCCCCTTCTTAATATAGTTCTATCGACAAGTGAATTTTTTATCAACTTTAAGGTACTAGTTTGCTTACGGGACCATCGGCAGAAATTAAAGCGCTTAATAAAATCATCGGAGCCGTGGAACTCCTTGCAGGTGAATATTTCATCGACTGCAATAAAATTCCCACCCTGCCCCCGATAAACTTTGTACTGGGAGGCAAATCCTTTACCCTCGAAGGATCAGACTATATTTTGGAGGTGAGTTCATAGTTAAAAGCCATATATTATCAAATAGTTGATCGAATTATTCTCTTTAGGTCGACACTGGTTTGGGAATTAATGAATGCATTTCTGGATTCATGGGTTTGGATGTGGAGGCACCAGCCGGTCCTCTCTGGATTTTAGGGGATGTGTTTATTGGAAAGTACTACACCGAATTCGACGTGGGCAATAACAGAGTGGGATTTGCTCAATCGAAAAATAGTGCTAACTGATTTTTGTAATTTGCCTTGAAAAAATAAATTTTTCGTGTTCATGATGCTCATGATCAGTTTTGTCAAATATCGGCTGCGTTTCCATTTACATGATATTTGATTTAAATGTTCCCTTAACTATTACCTTTTAATGTGCTTACTTATTGCGATAAAATGGCTAATAAGTAAATGAAAGAGTTCGGAGTCAACTTGAGCGAGATTTAAAGAGTATTTCACTAAACTTTTAAGGAAAATGTGAATTTAAACCCAAACAACTTTTCTATTTTACGGTATTGGCAGCGATTTTCCTGCTTCATGTTTTTATGTAATCTTGTAAAAAATCCGAAAATTGTAATGTTCGTTTCCTTTGTAGATTTGAAAAATATTTCTTTTTTTAGTTCTTATCGGTTTCAGGAAATTTAAAAATCAGCCGAAGCGAGAGTTTAGTATGTATCGCAAAAATTTTAATTGACTGAAATTGCAAAATATCAAAAACTCTATTTTCTCGAGTTAAAAAACGGGTTTTCACCAAAATCGCATTAAAACATCTCAGACAAATTGCAAAAATCAACGAACTATAACTATAGCTAAGCAGAAGAAACCGAATAAGTTATTTTAATCTAAATTATCTCAATTAGAAAAAAAGGTTCAGTGCGCTTAGAAAGATGTAGTGAGGCCCAAAATTAAACGATGTCTTATATTCAATTTAAAAACTTAAAACTGAAAAAAAATCTGGTGAGTACAGAACCAGCTTGTACTGGTTCTGTAACATAAAATACAGATATTAGCTTTAATGCTTTTTTTAAGATAACAACGTGTTTTATTTGCGTGAAAAACAATGTAAGCAATCTTTTATACATATCTGAAACACGAATGATCTTGCATATACAAGGTGAGTCAGTTTATAAGTTAATAGTAGCAGAGCTGAAAACATTGATCAAAAAATGCTATTAAAAAAAAGTTTTATAAATAGATCATGAGAAACTGAATTTTTGCAAAACAGGGTGTTCAACATAAATTTAAGGTACTGTTTAAAGGTCGATAGGTCTCCCGATGTTTTCCCCTTTTTCGAAACAACGTTTTAAATGCATATCAATATAAAACTAAATTAAATGAACGGAAATAAGAAAAGCCTTCCATTAAATGTATGACTTTTGAATTTCAATATATGAATTATTACGTAACTTTGAGTACAACCAATGAACAAAAGTCAGCTTTTTACTCGACTGAAAATATTTTTACATTTTTCGACTTAAGGTTAGATTGATTCTTTAAGCGCTGCAGCTATGAAATAACTCTCAAAAAGGGCCTGTTAGAATAAACAAATCGAAATGTACATTTTCATATAAATTGAACTTTGAAAAATAATATAAAGTATATAAATTAAAAACTGTTGGTTTTCTGATTTCCTATAAAGTAGCTTTCAATCGGCATTCAGAAATAGCGAATGGCTTGAAGCAGGAAAAACCATTAAAATATAACGTGATGAAATGGCTTATTCTTTCCACATTACATTTTTAAATGATACTTAAACATCTAGAACCAGCAGGTGGTGTGATTTGTATAAATGGTGCAAATAATAATATTTTTTTACGATACCAGCAATTGTATATAATACAATTTTTGATAAAACGGCGCACTTCACTAGTTAAGAGTAGATTATTAAAATGCTTTCAGTTCGGTCTTTTTTAGTGCTTTGTTCAATTTCTGCAATAGCCAGTGAACATTTAGCCAGGTAGAGCGTTACAATTTGCTATTATTTAATATTCTTGGTTTTGTTTTACTTTATTGCTGTGATTTTCAATAAACTTTCAGAATACCTCTACTAAAGAAATCATCCCGCGTCAACATAATCCATCATCAAAAACAACTCCAACAAGCACTTTTCAGATCACAAGAAAACGGTGGAAGAGAAATATTATGGAATTACGATTACGTGAGTTATTAAATCAAAGAAATACAGTAAGTAAAGGGCCAATAATAAGCAAAAACTTAATTCCAGCTATATTTAGGAAATATTACCATAGGCACACCACCTCAGCCGTTTATAGTGCTGTTTGATACCGGTTCTTCTCTTCTTTGGGTGCCGTCAAAACGTAGTTCGCTGGCCCGTAATTCCGGTACATATTTTATACATTTACATAAGTCCCTATTAATTATTCCCCTTTTAGCAATACATAAATACGACCATTCAAAGTCTTCTACTTATAAAAAGAATGGTACCGAGTTCGTTATCTCTTATGTATCTGGAGATGTAAATGGAGTTCTATCGAATGACGTAGCTAATGTAAGTTTTGTAGATTGCTTTTCCAAGATTAAGAATGAACTGAAAACAGTTATGTAATTTTAGGTCGCTGGGTTAACTGCAAGTGGACAAACATTTGGAGAAGTTTTAGATTTGAGTCATTTACCGCCTGATATACACTTTGACGGTATTCTGGGATTGGGCTACCCTGCTTTGGAAAGTTCTAGAGTTATGCCATTTTTTAACAATTTAATTGATCAGGGAGTTGTACCGGAACCGGTATTTAGTTTCTATTTGAATAGGTATGATACAACCCTATAGGCCCAAAAAACTCACCAGTTTCACATCTGCAACTACTTTGGCTGTGGTTTACTTCCTCCAATTCTATTCTATATAGTTTCACATAATCGCAATACATTTTCCACGATATAAAGCAAATGATAGACGTTTACATTTGAATAAGTTCAAGAAGTTTTTGGGGAGATGGCTAGTGAGAAATGAAAGCTTCATTTTCACTATTTGATTTATAATTAATTGGGTGCATTCATTCTAGAATGCCCTTCTTGCATAGCTTAATGCACCTTTATAACATCAAATACTTTTTTATACAAACTACGCAAATACGTATTAATTATATCATGATCTTCTATCTGCATTACACTCTTATATTCACATTTGGGCCACAGCATTATTCCTCAGTTAGTAAATAAGGTTTGCTCTTCGAGGTACTTTGTTGCCTAACGCTGCTAGTCTTTCTTATCTCAGCCTTTTATGTTAAATTAGTATCAATAATGCGTTTATTTCATATTATTGAGATGTCCTGTCGTGTTTATCAGCTCGTTGCCTCAATTACGTTAATGATTCAACTGTTTCATTTTTTATCGTTTTGCCTCTAGCTAAACATGCTCAAAAGCGGGTGTTTTTTTCAATCTAAATTAGCTGAAAAATTTAGCCGCATTTAACGTAAATTACCTACAGTTGCCAAAGGTGTTTAAGCTTAATTACCATTGTTTAATGTTATTGTTTCTATTTTAAAATCGTTGATACATTTAATATTTTATATTAACTCGAGCAACGAATTGCAATTTAAATTACCGTCGAAAGAACCTGTTCCAGCTTTGTTACCACTGATATTACCGTTTCGTATGAATAATATGATTTCGATAATAAGTTTAGATATTTGTTTCAGAGACGAAAATGGTACAGTGGGAGGAGAACTCATTTTGGGTGGATCTGATCCTAACTACTACACTGGAAACTTTACTTACGTTCCAGTTGTACGTCGCGCATATTGGGAAATTAAATTAGACAATGTTAAAGTGCGCAATAAATCGTTATTACCATATGGGGGTTCAGTAGTAATTGATACAGGTAAGAACAGTGAACAGAACTCGGAGCAGTAAAACAATGCGCAAATTGTTACTTATTAAAAAAGACGTTTTCAAGCAATTTGCTAAGCAAGAACGCAAAAACGCAGCTGACGATCAGAGACAAATACAATTATTATAGTATCTGAAAACTGACCAAAAATTAAGACCAAAGCAATGAAACGAAAGAAAGTCACTCAAGTTCCCATTTGTAGACGAGAAACCAGCAAAACGAACAACCGAAAAAATTGTGGTCCCTTTTGAAAGTATTATTTCATACATTTAATAACTTCAATAATTTCAGGATCTAATGCAATGTCGGGTCCGATATCACCAGTATTTGCTCTACACGAATCCCTCGGGTTTACTTGGCTTCCTGATTATGGCTTTGTAATTGAATGCGAAATAATTTCAAAATTACCACCTATCAATTTCGTTCTATCCGGAAAGGACTTTCCTTTGAAGTTTGGTGATTATACACAAAAAGCGGTACGTATATTTGGAGAATCAACCTATCAAAGCAACAGCTCTAATAATTAAAAAATAAAACAGACAAATTTTATTTTCTAGATGACAACTGATGGACCCATATGCCTTTCTCTAATATTTCCTGACATCTATTCGGAATTCTGGCTACTAGGAGAGATGTTTGTTGGAAGATATTACACGGAGTTTGATTTTGGAAATAACCGAATAGGTTTTGCTAACGCCAAACAATAGTAGACAATGAAACAATAACATAATAAAATTTATAACTTGAAAGAATTCGCCCAGACCTTTTTTCCCATATAGTATAAGTATCAATAGAATAACGATATCCTAATAATTGTACATAACGATTAGGACATTAAAATCCTAGAAGTACGGTTATTTGGAATTACAAAAAAAAACCATTTTATATGTTTAGGTACAAAAGATCACCATAGATACAAAATATATACCATTGAAGTATATGAGAAGATCAAGAAAATTAACATGTTATTTTCTTAAGTCTCATTTGATTAATTCTGGTAATTTGTACAGTGAATTTTTCGTAAATCTTGCGTCAACTATTCAATGAAACTTATTTCTCTTTCTCTAATGTCAATTATCCCAACAAATATTTTCAGTCAAGGACAAAGAGAAGATCATAAATAACCCTAACTATCCCTATCAAAATCCAACAAAATGTAAGAATTTCCCACATGCAATTATTTGTAAACTACTGTTAACAAATGTTCATAATCCATTTCCTTTGCGAGTTGACCAGTCTGATTCCGAGGCATACGTGCAGTTTCCACCAGACAAGAGATTTCTTGTCTTTGGTTTCCACAACTAACGTATTTTCTATGGGGGCAGGTAGTTAACCTTCCGCTCAACCCCCAAGACCTGGAGGACCAGAATGTTCTGTTGAGGTTCATTCCCTTAGCCGAAATGTGCATGCATTGGCCGGAGGTTACGGTTTAGGAGACTGTGGGCATTTCCCAAAGTTTTCCAACGACCTTGTGACCTGTAACCAGATTGGACATGTTGCGGTGGACGCCAGGCATGGGAGCAGTGTCCTAAATGTAAGAAGTCTTAGAGGAGTAGACGGAGATACAGATCATTTTCTGGTAAAAGCCAAACTCCAAATCAGAATATCGAGTCAAAGAAACCAAAAAACTAACCGCACCGCACAATCGAACATAAAGAAGCTACATAATCCAGCAGAACAACAAAAGTACGAAGAACTGGAATAGTAACTCATTGAGAAAGAAAATCGCAAATTGCATGTTGAAGGTCTGGAACTATGTATGTATATTGAACAAACTAGGGCTCGGAATTTTAAAAAATCTGATATTGATTGGTTTATTCGAGTAGTAAAATTATTCGAATACTCGAATATCTAACGAATATTCGAATAATCGAGTATTCGAACAATCGAGTATTCGAATATATTATTATATATACGGAATTCGTTTTCCGTTCACCGTTTTTCAAGAAGAAAAATCGTTTTCTCAAATCATTTTTGGTAACTAGCCGCAACGTATAAAAAAGTGCCTTTGTCGGCACATTAATTGTAACACCACTCAAAAGTTGATGACGCGTATCACCAGAACACAGAGGCGTAATTTTCCATTCATTTACAGGAGAGTAAATATGATTATTTTTATTTGCTTGTAAATATATGGGTATTTGTTTAAATGCTTGTAGAATATGAATAATGTATTTTATAAAAGTATTCAAAGTGCATATAAAGATATTTGCACCTTGTGAGTTTGATAATGTTGGTGTATTCGAGTATTCGTATAATTATGACTACACATAATTATTCGCTTTTTAATATTCGAATATTTGAATTATTCGAGAGCCCTAGAACAAACGATAAAAAAAGGCAGCAGAAAAAAACCATCGGGGCAACCAAAAAGAAAACGACTAGACAAAATCATGGTTTAATGAAGTGTCAACAAAAACTGCAAGAAAGGAAAACTTTTAGAAACGCTTTGATTCAGCACGGTATACCTGAAAACCGAGAAAAATATGCACTCTCGTAAAGGAACCAGGAAGTTCTTGAAAATACCAAAACAAGAATATGAGCGTCGAAAATACGAGATGATCGACAGAAACAGGTCTAAACCAGCTTCTTGGGAATTATATAAGGCAATAAAAATCGAAAAACGAGCATATCAGCCCATGTCGGTCCCGATCTTGAAAAGCGACAATGCAGACATGATAATCAACGAACACGAACGGTTGGAAACATGGAAAAACTACTTTGAAAAGCTGCTAAATATAGAACCCGATGAAAACCCACTGAAAATACATACCACACAGCAGATCTCCCTGTAGACGAACCATCCACAGAAGATATTCGAAAGGCAGTAAAAAAATTAAAGAACTAGAAGGCTCCTGGACCGGATAACAAATCATCAGAACTATTAAAGGACGGAGGTGAATCGTTACACCAATTAATTATTGTAATATAAATAGAGGGGAAATACCAATAAAGTGGCAAGAAAGCATCATCCACAAAAAATCCTGTCCAATATTGGACCTGGTCCTGGCCAATATTGTTCTGAATAGACTAACTCCATACTCAGAGGATGTCCTGGGGGAATATCGGGCAGGTTTCAGGAAATTTAGATCCACTATTGACCGACTTTTTACACTCAGGCAATTACTAGAGAAAGGATGGGAGTTCAACTGTACTGTCCATAATGTATTCATAGGTTTTCGACAATCATACGACAGCATTGAAAGATTCCAAGTGTGGAATGCAATGGCCGAATTCGCAAATTCCAAGAAAACTCATTCAGATGACGAAAGCTTGTATGGAAGACGGAAAACCCAGAGTGCGAATAAATAATAGGCTCTCAGATGAGTTTAAGATGCGTAGCGAATTAAAACAGGAAGATGCTTTGTCGTCTATACTCTTTAATACCGCCCTAGAGAAAGCTACGATGTCAGCAGAAATTCAACAGAACTCCTGACTGCACGAGGCCCCAAGTTATGTTAGCATATGCAGATGACATTGATATCATTGGAGACTACACACCAACAGTAAAAGGTATCTTTAATCGCATAGAAAAAGCTACAATAGAAGTAGGACTCAATATTAACTCAATATTAAGGAAAAGCCCGTGCAGGTTGAGCTACCCATCGGGCGCGTCCCCAGGTGGCGGATAGGGGGAAGGCCGGTCAGATACGTCTGACCGGTTAGCGACGGCCA